CATGCCAAATGCAATCTCTTGCTGAGTCTAGGCCTTCTCTGCAATCTCTGATATTTGGTAAGAAGATCAAAAATCATCATAGCCTAAAATAGAGTATCTGAGTTTGGGTAGATGCTTTTTATATCAAGCTGTTGAATTTATAGTACAAAGCTAAAGAACTGAAGGAAACAACCTTTTAAGTCATCCTGCCATATTTTGAGAGCATTATTAACATAAAAGATAGAAGAAAGGACTGTAATTTTTCTTCTAGACAGAGAAGAGTACTCAGTATGTATCATCTTAGACAAAAGAGACAGAATTAACACTCCATCTCCCCTCCAAGTAGACTCTGCCTACATGACAGGGAGAGAGGCAGACACTCAGTCCTGGGGTCCCCTATCCAAGGGGATATTGCTCTGTACTGTCCCCTTTATAAATTAAGATGCTAGAGTTTGTGTGAATTCACTGTGTCCAAATTTTCAAAAAAAATCATCTTCACCCTTCTTCACAAAAGGATTATCATTGGTTTGTTTTGGTTCCTTTTTCACTCCATTTTTACTCCTTGCCATTACACTCTAATTCTATGATTTGTGATTATCCACCTAAATCTAACACCTTTCTCACAAAAGGGTATGTTGTTATGGGCAAAGAATGTGAAGTCTGAAGACTCAGATTCAAGTTCATGAGCCATAACATAACCAGTTCTATCACCTTGGACCTAAGCTATCTGTGCCATGTTTTCTCCATTTATAAAATGCTGATAATGATAGTTGTTTTATTTTTTCATAGAGTTGTTTTGGGTGTGAAATGAGATAAGGATATGAAAATAATTTATAAAGTTCTATAGAAATACGTAGTGTTTTGTTCTTAATCTATTATTTTAAAAGTATTAAAAACACTGAATAGATTTTCCTATACTTTATACTTCTTTCAGGCAAATTAGTAGAGTTATCAGACAGGCAAAAATAAATAAAAATGATGTCAAACCACTTGAAGCAACCATAGGTCATCATAATACTTGTGGACTCCCCTTTACCCTCTTGGTTCCTCTGGATCTTGCTAGTTGGACTGTGGTTTACAGATCAGAAGCACCAGCACCACCTGGGAGCATGTAGAAATGCAGATTCTCAGATCTTATCCACACCTGTTGATTCAGAATCTGCATTTTATTTTGGCAAGATCTCCAGGTGCTTTGTGGGCACGTTTAAGTTCGATACCATATAGCATACCATATAGCACTGGCAGCATGCATGATGATTCCATAAACTGGTGAGCATTTTTTATTTTAATTATTAGTTTTGAAGAATATTAGAAGAAAATATTACTAGCCCATAAAACGTGTTATTTCACAGATTTTCGTTAAGGTGAGTCTAACAAGTAGCTTGTTATATATTTTTTAAAGATGGGTTGATTTAACAGAAATTATTAAGTTATACAGCAGTTGATACTTGGATATGGCAAAAATTATGAATGTGGCTCTTAAAGGACTAGTCTCAGGGTGGTAAACCTGATCTAGTAGCTTGGTGGGATTCAAAGCAGGATTGTGACAGCTGTGAAGGACTTCTGGGGTGCCTCCCTTAGCCCTAACTGAGGGTGCCTATAGAAGACATAGCTCGCATGTTTGCCAGGCAGAACAGATCAGACCAGGGATGTCATCTTTCACTGTCCAGATGAGCATATGGACTGAGCTCCCAAGAGCTAGTGTTCTTTCTTCATCCCTTCCACTCAGTGCTTGTTTGGGAAGAGTTCAGGCACCAAAATACACTTTATTTCTTTATTTACTATTTAGAGGAACTTTAAGGACTGGAAGATTCATTCCCCTTGCTTGTGCCAGCCTTTAGCTCAATGTTTGTCGGATCTGAGAACAGTTTATCCAAGAAAGTCTTCATTCCCCATAACTCAGTTTCTCTTGGGACACAATTATAAAGTCAAGTTCAATTCCTTATGAGGCCAGCTTTTGTCTACATTGTTTTCTTTCCACTTTCAGGTCTTCAGTAACTTTCAGCATTATATAAGTAATACAACTAGGCATTTAGAATGTAGAGGGGGAAATTCTGTATGCATTGTCATGCTGTGCTTACGTAGGAGCCTTGTGAGTTTTCTCTGAACCATTCCAGTTTCCTACATATGCTGCTGAAATAAACACCTGTGCTCTTATTCAGTTCATTTTTCCCTTTTTTTCCTCTGTTTGCACTCCGTCTTGACATTACACTCTGATTCCGCACTCTGTGATTATCCACCTGAAGCCATCACATTAGCCAAGTTACAGAATTTAGTTGGGGAAGATTTCCTTGCAAATGAAGCTCTCTAGCCTGTTGATCAGTGTTGTTGCTCCTTATGAAAAACCTGTCCAGAAATTTATGAATTGAAGAAGGGTGGTAATTTGTATTATTATGAAGAATGGTATCTATCCAGAAGATTTTTGAATTATCTGCATACAGAGCTAAAATAGTTAATTTGTTTTTTAAAATATTACATAGACTTTTTATTGACATCCTATGGACAGTTTCCACATACTGGCTATTTTTTTGTTGTGATGGAGTATACAAGAGTACTTCAACGGTTTGTGGAAAAATAGAATTAAATGGGAATACTAATCTTTCTACGAACTTTTTGAAGTACCCTCGTATTCTGGAATAACTATTTGCAGTTGCAGAACCCTGCCTTCTTAATTCCTTCCATTTAAAATAATAAACATAAAACAAAGTCGAGACACAAGTAGCAGATTGGGGAAAAACTTTGCAATAATATGATAGAGGCCAAATTTCCTTAATATTCATAGACCTCTTCAAATGACTAAGATGATGAATAACCTGATAGAAAAATGGCAAGAGATAAAAACCTGGAGGAAAAAATTGACATGACCAGTAAACATGAAAATATGCTCACCCTCATATATCATTAAACACAAATCAAAACAAGTTGCTGTTTTCCAGCTGTCAGATTGGCTGAAATTAAAATATTTGAAAAACCCCAGCGTTAAAGAGTAGAATAATAGCATGTTGTTGGAATTATGAATTGTTTAACTTTTCCAAAGGGTGTTTTGGCAATATTTATGAAAATGTGAAATACACATACACTTCGATCAAGAAATTCAACAAATATGCAGATGTATATAAAATGATAGCCTTTGGGGGCCGGCCCGGTGGCGCACTGGAGAGTGCGCTGCTTGGGAGTGTGGCGGCGCTCCCGCCGAGGGTTCGGATCCCATGTGGTGACCGGTTCCCGCTCACTGGCTGAGCGCGGCGCAGGCGCAACACTGAGGGTTGCGATCCCGTTGCCGGTCCCCGGTATGGGCACGACACCAAGGGTTGCGATCCTGTTGCCAGTCCCCGGTACGGGCGCGACACCAAGGGTTGTGATCCCGTTGCCGGTCCCCGGTATGGGCACGACACCAAGGGTTGCGATCCTGTTGCCAGTCCCCGGTACGGGCGCGACACCAAGGGTTGTGATCCCGTTACCGGTCAGTAAAAAAGACAAAAAGGAAAAAAAAAAATGATAGCCTTTGCAACATTATTTATAGTAGCCTACACTGAAAGCAACCTCTATGTCCCTCAGGAGAGCTTATAGTAGTACTATTATTTGTTAAGCCAATGGAATAACATGTAGACATTAAAAAGATGTGTTAAGTTTATATGAACAAAAAGGGGGGAACAACATATTAAAAACTGTAAATAATATGATCCCATTTGTTTTAAAAAGGGGGGGATTAAAGAATGCTTCATGTACTTCTGTGTGAATAAAAGTTCTTTGAAAAGATGCGCCAGCAACAGATAGCAGTTAAGTCTGGGAAGAGGGACTAGAGATTAGAGCTTTTGTTGTGGGGGAGGGAGAGACTTTTAATTTAATTATTTAGAAATGTATAATTTTGAATTTAGTTAAAATAATTTTGTGTGACATATGTTAGTGATGTAGATGTGTTCAGAGATAATGATATACAATCTAATCCACATAATTTCTTTTCCCCAAACCCATATATTCCTCCTCTCTGCACCTTTTCCCCAGCCCTAACAGTTATGTTTTCATGACTATTAGCTGAGTGCCTTCACTTTGGGTGAAGTGACTACTTCTGAGAGAGACTACTTTTGAGAGAGAAGACACTATCATTGAAGTAGCCAAAGCGGTGGCAATTAAAGCAAAAATAAAGACTTTGCCCTGTACTGGAAAGGAAAAGCCATATGCTAAAAATGAGCCATTATTTGGTTATTTAAATTAGCCATTTAAAATAAAATAAATCAGATAAAAGCAATGACAGTTTCCCAAAAAAGAATTTGGTTTAGACTTTCTGGGTAATTATTACAATTGCCTATTGCTCCTATAAGGAAAACAAGGTTATTAAGTATCTCTCAGTTCTTTTTCTTTTAGATCCTAGGGATATAAGGATGTTCTCATTTCCATGCCTAGTTTGGGGATGGAGCCTTTGGGTTATTGATGGCGTTCTTTGAAGTGGACTTTTGCCTTCTTTAAATAATCCTGAACATGCCTAAGTTCCATCAGTACCCAGGAAGTGAATTTTGACACCTGGATTGAGCTATGAAATATAGGTTACCTTTACTCCTCACTTTTTCCAGTTATCCAGCGTTTCAAATTTGTCCAATAGCATTTTATTTAGTTGTTTTTTTTAATACTTTAGAAAGTTATTTAAAAGTTTGAGGTACCTCAGTGTTTAAATCAAATAACTGTTCTACTTATCTAGTTTTGATATTTAATATAAAATTTAGTTTTTAATATTTTCCAGTTTCAGTTTTCCCCCCTTCCAACTCTCCCCCCCCAACAGGACTTCTACTGTCGTAAATTTATCCTTCATTTTACCTTAAAGGGTCTCTTCTCAGTACTTTGGGCGTCTGGGAGTGGTATCTGGAGGTACCCGTGCCAGGTAATAGCTCCTCTACCATTTTCATGCACAGTTTAGTGGATGTTTCTTCAATTGATTTCTGGTTTTTGCTGCCACCAAAGTTCTCTCTTCGCATTTTTCTTTCTAATCCAAACTTTCTGGGAGTTACTATGTTTATTTCTTTCAGATGGAGATTATTTTACCTTTACAAGACATGAACCCATTGGAGTGTGCGGACAGATCATCCCAGTGAGTGTATCTCCTCGCACCTCGTATTTATTTTCATTTGACGCAGTTCTCTTAAAGACACATAAAACATGGTCCTCAGTGATGTGTTTTCCATTACTGGGGAAAGAAAACTGAGCTCATGTTGTTGACATATCTTTAACAGCCTCCCTGCAAATGCTTATTTGAACAGGTTAACAGGGTTCCAGCTCTGTTACCAGGAGTTGAGTTCTCAAGTCATGGAATTCTCATGATTAAAATAAGGAAAGCAAAGCACAGTGTATTAATAACCTGCCCTTGATTATGGATGTCCATTCTGCTTATGGAAAATTAAAGCTTTGTTATATTTGCTTGTTTATTTTTAGAATTGTGACTCACCATCTTTCCAGGCATATTATTTTATATGGTCTTTTAATCCCATTCTTTCCCTGGTTTCTTTGTTTCTTTTCACAAGAATCTAGATAGAAGATGCTCCAGAAGACACAGCAATACAATTAATGTCAAGGTCATAATTGAAACCATGCTGGGCTGTTGTATGTCTTGTAAAGGGAAATAGATGTAGTGCTTAGTGTTTGGATTGGAACATTAAACATTGTCCTTTTCTTTTTTCTTTCTCTCATACACGTCATTGACACAATACAAAACATTACCAAATCTTCTAATAGTACAAGCTAATAGTTCTGGCAGGGATTTCAAGGGAAGGCTCAAATTAAACTCTTACAGTATAGACAAAATTTTTCTCTTTTCAAAATATAGGATAATAACTCAAGATCATTTTTGGCTTTGGGAGCCAAAGATTTTGGGGAGGTATTAATATGTGTTCAAATGGTCAATAAGTCCTGGATTACTGTGAAATTTAGTAAAGAATGAAAAAGGAAAATGACATGTTTGGTTTAAGTTCTTGTGCTCCTAAACTCCCCAGGGATATCCTCCTTGTGCAGTGCAGGGGTGAGGTCTATCACCTTCATTGTAGGACTCAGTCCTGCTCTTCTTGCCCTTCCCCAGACTGCCAAAGCTGCAGCTTCACTGGCAGGACAAGAGCTGCTTGTCAGCCAGCCCCAGCTCAATTACTGCACTCCAAGATTTATATACTGTAGATGGAATTAAAACATCACTGTGGACTCCCAAGTTTATAAACAACTAAGGGGAAAAGAAATTGGGTGTTTGGTGAAGGCAAGACACTTGTATATTTTTGCAAGTTTGCCAGAGCCAGTGAGAAGCCTTCAAGGATGGCAGCTGAGATGCTTTAGGCAGAAACACATTGTGGTCAGGGGCTAAAGCCAGGAGATCAGGATTTCTGTTTTCTTTCTTAATGAAATTATCAATGACACCTGATAGTAACAAGGATCATGCCTGATCTTATGACAATACAAGCTTAATATCCTTTTAAAATCTGTCTAAAGTATTTTAGGCCCCCAATTCATATAGTCATATAAATAGATTTTAGTCTCCGTTAGCTTATTTTGCATGGGAAAGGAGACAAATGGAAATGTTTGCATCCTCATCAGGAGGTGCACTTTATTTTTTGTAATCTTGTGGTTTTTGACAATACATGTATTTAAAGAAAAAGTGCTACCTTGAAATATACATTGACTTAAATATAATTCACAGCTAGAATTTTCTTTTCTAGTTCTTCCATGTTGAAGAGCTTTCACATCAATATGAAAATACTGGTGTAAAAATCATAAATATAAAAAAAAACTTTGCATACACAGGAACTTATTGGAACCAAAGCCTAATTTTAAAAATATATAAAACAACAATGAAAAAACAAAACAAAACAAAGAAAAAACAAAAGCTCCCTTTTTACCATACAATTTCTTATAGTGGGTAGTTGGAATGTAGTGATTCATTGAACAGAGAGTAAAGGAGAGATTTTCAACGTCAGTACTATTCTATTCTTAAAGAAGTAATTAAAAATCCAAACATCTATGCTTTGTGGTTGACAAGATTTATGTTAAAGACTAGTTGGAGAAATCTTAGAAGTCACAGCTTGAAAACAAAGTAGTGGAGGAATATTTTTCATCTATCAACCTTGAGTTTTTCCTTTCAGTGGAACTTCCCCCTGCTGATGTTTGCCTGGAAAATTGCTCCAGCTCTGTGCTGTGGTAATACAGTAGTTATTAAGCCCGCAGAGCAGACACCACTCAGTGCACTCTACATGGGAGCCCTCATCAAGGAGGTAAGAGAGACTGACTTCAGGAGTGGTTCCATCTTCCTTTCCAGTTGGAGCCTGCTAGAGCGTATCCCAGTTAACATGATGTGTTAGCTTTCATAAGCCACGTTTCCTCCAATTGTTTTCTTAGGCTGGCTTTCCACCTGGAGTCATCAATATTTTGCCAGGATATGGGCCAACGACTGGGGCAGCAATAGCATCTCACATTGGCATAGACAAGATTGCGTTCACAGGATCTACTGAGGTAGGTACCTGAGAAACAATGGGGCAAGGAACAGTCCTGAGAATGAGTAGAGGAGTTAAAAGAACAGGCTGGACAGCAAAAGGACACTGAGATGAGTGTACCCAAGCCTGCAACGCATACATTGGTATCACAGGCAGAGCACTGGCAGGTACAAAAGCAAAGGCATGCATTGGCCACTTTATGCCACAGGTCTCTGAATGTTTTTGTGATGCCATCTGTGTAAAAACTGTCCCAGAAACTGGAGTTCCGTTTGCTTTTTTGAGCCAATAACAATAATGGCAGAAGCAAGTTAAGAAGCTGGAAATCTAAACTAGTCTCTGGCAGAGATGAGAATGGAGACACAGCTTTCCCTTCTCATTGTTTCACCAGGCCCTATAGATGCAATTGGCAGCTAACTATGCCCCACGAGCCGTAAAGGATGACATAGAGCAGGGGTAGCAAACTTTTTCTATAAAGGGCTAGATAGTAAATGTCATAGAGTTTAATGTATACACTAATGAGTGTTGCTATGTGCTAATAAACATGTATTTATAGAAACTGAGATTCGAATTTCATATAATTTTCACAAATCACAAAATGCTAATCTTTTAATTTTTTTCCAGACATTTAAAAATGCAAAAATTACTTTTAGCTTGTAGGCTGTACCAAAACAGGTAGCAGGCCAAATTTGGCCCATGGGCTGAAGTTTACAGATTCCTAATATAGAGTCACAGGTTTGCTTAGGAAGATTTATAAATGTTTCTCCAATATGTCTTTGATTTAGGTGACAGATGATAAAAGAGAGATTCTGAGTTATTGTTTCAAATAGAACCTCATTGGTGACACCATCATTGGACAAAGAATGGCTGCAGGTCACTACCTACAGAAATAAAATGAGAGCAACATTTGCCATTTAACACTGGCTAATAGGCAGGTTAAGATAATTTTTAAAAAGTGAAATTAATTTTAATAACATTTTATTTAATCCAGTATTTTCAAAATATTGTCACTTCAACATATAATCAATATAAAAATTAATTCAATGTTTTGCACTTTTTTTTCATATAAAGCCTTTGAAATTTGGTATGTGTTCTACATTTACAGCATATCTCAGTTCAGACTAACCACATTTCAAGTGCCCCATAGCCACATGTGACTAGTAGCCATCATATTGGACAATGCAGGTCTATAAACTTGATTATATCAGGTGATACAGAGTTAATGATACTTGGTTATCATGTTAATAAATTTCACAAGATATTGATCAATAAACTTGAATGTTAATTAATTAACTTACAGTTACAGATTATTGAGTTTTATGTTTGTCAAGAGTTAATCTTATTGGTTTCCAAACCTTGTACTTCCAAATTTTGCAGTTTAATGAAATGTATAAACCAAAATGTAAGGAAATTATTGTTCCTGTATAAACTAATTCTAATGTTTTGAAAATATTTGCTAAGGGCTAGATGCTAAGAAAAACTGATCAGTTAGGAGTGGGCAAGACAATTATAAAAGATTGGGGAAAAATATAAGTGTAGACAGAGTGTGCACCTGGATTGCTTTGCAACTGTTTTTAAGCCCCCACTCCACTTTAAAGAAACTGAAACCAGAAATCTTAAACAATATTTTAAGGATGTGGCTTAATCAGAAAGGTCAGATGGATCCATAATCAAAGTCCGTGGTCCTATATCAGAAGACTGGGGAATGAATGTATGTATGTTTAAAACTAAAATGAAATATTTAAGGTTTCTTTTCTGGCTTTAACCTTCTTTTCTTGTTAACCACTCACTAGTCCTGACTGAATCAGTTAAGAGGCTCCTGGTGTATAATATTTTTTTAATAAAAATTTTTAATGAAAATGAGAGCTCAATATATAAAATGAGATATATAACTCCTTGTCATGTCAGTGCCTATAGATCTCCTTTATTCTTTTTAATAGCTTCATTCTTTTTAATAGCAGTATGGAATAGCTTTTGCATCAGTATATTATAATTTAATCCTTCATTAATGTACACTTCAGATTGTTTTTTTTTTCCCACTTTTTTTTCCTATTTTACTGAAATAAATACCTTCAGAGATCTAAGAATTGTCTGTGTGTGTGTGTGTGTGTGTGTGTGTGTGTATACAAAGGTACATCAGAAAGTTCAAGGAAATATTGTATAATCTCTCAATTAAATTTTTCACGAACTTTTTGAAGTACTCTCATATATGTATTAGATATGCTGTTGGATATGTTTCTAGAAGTGGAATTGCAAAATGAAAGTATATTTATGTTTTAACTTGCTTACCAAAAATGCATTAGAGTGATGGTTTCATTTATAAGATCTTTTTATATATTAAGTATGTTAATCTTCCGTTGTTGTAGAATTTGTAAATATGATTTCCAGTTTTCCTTTCCTTTTTAATTTTTTTAAAAATAGAGTTGTTTGCCATGCACAAGTTTTAAATTTGTATGCAGTCATATCTTTCAGTCTTTTTCTTAATGGCTTCTGGGTTTCTTATCAACTTTGAAGAAATTTCTTCGAGATTATACCAACGATCCTTAACACTATCTATCAGTACTTTTATGGTTTTGTTTTTGTTTATATCTTTAATCTGGTTGGAATTTTCATGTGTAAAGGTGAAGGCTAAGTTTTTTTTTTCTTTTTGTCTTTTTTCGTGACCGGCAACGGATCGCAACCTTCAGTGTCGCGCCCGTACCGGACCGGGACCGGCAACGGGATCGCAACCCTCGGTGTTGCGCCCGCACCTCGCTCAGCCAGTGAGCGGCCGGTCTGTACGTGGGATCCGAACCCTAGGCGGGAGCGCCACCGCGCTCCCAAGTGGCGCACTGTAGTAGTGCGCCACCAGCCGGCCCAGAAGGCTAAGTTTTTTTGTTTTACAAATGCGTGTTCAGGTATTTCAACATCATTTATTAAATGATCTATTCCTTTGCAACTCATTTGAATACAACATAACATTATATGATAAATTTCCATATACATGAGGGTACTTCAAAAGTCCATGGATAGATTCATATTATGTTTTAATTCTATTTTTCCACAACTGTTTGAAGTATGCTTGTACATATTTTTGTTGTAGGGCTCATAATTTTATTTATCTATTGTTCTGCCCATACCAGACTGCTTTAACTGCTGAGTATAAGATACGCTGCGGTATACCCTCTTACTTGTTTTTTCAAAACCCTGTGGCTATTCTTGCCCCCTTATTCTTTCAGATGAAATTTCAAATTGATTTTCTAAGCACCTAGTCTTTCCAAAAATTCTCATTGAAATTTTGATTAGCATTACATTACATGCCTATATTATATTGAGGGTAAGTTCTGTCTTCACCATATTGATTTCTGGAGCATGATATGAATCTCTTCAGTTATTTGTTGTATAGCGTTCTTCACTGGTATCATATAGGTCTTAGGCATTTCTTGGTAAGTTAATTTCTTGGCATTTAATGTTTTTTTCCAAGATATTTCAATGCAAAACCTGAGCATCTTTTTTTTGTAAGTCACAAGATCATGCAATGGAAAGTTATATTGAATAGATGGAACCTCATCTTTTAGGCCAGACAAGAAGTCACATAGTGAGTCAGTAAGAATGTAAATGCCTGCTGCCAGGCTGTTTGGGCTCAAAACTCAGCTTTGCCACTAAAGATCTTTTTTCATAAATTTTTAAATGACTTTGTTGAAGTATAATTCACGTACAATATAATGCACCCTTTAAGTATCAATTATACACACCCATATAACCACAACCCAAATCAAAGTATAGACTATTTCTATATGCTAAAAAGATTTCTCATGCCTCTTTGCAGCTAACACCCTTGGCTCCAGACAGCCATTTATCCTTTTTTTAAATGTTGCCTATTCTAGAATTTCATATAAATGGAGTAATAGAACATGTGCTCTCATGTGTCCATTTCTGTTATGTGTGCATGTGTTTTTGTTTTTGTTGATGTTCAACATTCAATGATTATTGGTAGTTGGGTTTTAATCCCCCATCTTGATTTCTGTTTTCTCTATCCCATCTGGATTTTGTCCTTTTTTTTTCTCTTTTTCTGCCTTCTTTTGGATGAATTGAATAATTTTAGCACTCCATTTTATCTTCTATTTTTGATTATTAGCTATACCTCTGGATTAAGTAGTTGATTTAGTGTTTGCACTGTGCATCTTAATCACAGTCTACCATTAAATAGTATTATGTAACTTCATATTTAATGTGATAAACATACAACAGTATTTTTTCATTCCTTGTTGGATACCTTGTGCTATTATTTTTTTATAATTTACTTCTACATATGTCATATGCTCCACAATATATCACTACTGTTTTTTGTTTTAAAAATTCAATTATCTTTTTAAAAAAGTTTTTAAATGAGAAAACAAAATTTTTTACGTTTACTCACATACTTGCCATTCCCTGCCCTCCTCTTTTATTTATTTATTTTGTGTGTATGTAGGCCCAAGTTTCCTTCTGGTATCATTTTCCTTATCTGTAAAAATCTTTCTTAAACTTTTTTTGTAGTGCAGGTCTACTAGTGATGAAGTCTCTCAGCTTTTGTTTGTCTGAAAATGTCTTTATTTTGTGTTCATTCTCTTAATGAATTTTTTTTTCTAGATATGGAATTCTAGTTTTACAGTTTTTGCTTTGTTTTATTTTACTTTGAAGACTTTGAAGATGTCATTCTGGTTTTTTCTGACTTGCACTGTTCCTGATGAGACACCAGCAGTCATTCTTATCTTTATTTTACTATAATGTTTCTTTTTTCTCTGACTGCTTTTAAGGTTTACTCTTTTTACTGGTTTTTAGCAATTTGACTGTATTGTTTTTGTATAGTTTTCTTTGTTTTTGTCCTTATTAAGGTTCATTTTGGATCAATTATCAAATTATTGGATCTATGAGTTTATAGTTTTTATTAAATTCAGAAACATTTTTACCATGATTTCTTTAAATATATTTTTGCCTCCCACTTCCCACTTCTAATTACATATGTGTTAGATCATTTGACATCATCCCACAGGTCACTGA